TCGCATTGTTGGCATTGTCTGCTGGGGCTGCTGCGTCAGCTTCCTCGGCGGCGACCTCGGCGAAGTCCTTGGCATGAGGGTTGCCTTTCCACGAAAGGTGTTCGTGGATGCACGAACGAAGTCGTGCTTCACTGCTGCACTTGAAACAGCAGCCTTTGCGCCAATAGTTGTTGGAGTGGCAATAGCGGCAGTATCTGAGCCAGATCCACCGCCCCGCGCCTGTAGGCACCAACTGCTTCCAAACCCCTGAGGGTTTCTCAGGCTTCGCTTGGTAGTCCTTGTAGTAGTCGTCTTTTTTCTCATCCTTTTTCTCATCTTTTTTCTCATCCTTTTTCTCATCTTCTTTTGTCTTCGGAGGAGTCGGGTCGACGACCGGGTCGCTTTCAAAGCCTTCTTCTTCTTCACTTTCTTCATTTTCTTCACCCTCGTCGCCTTCATCATCTTTCTTGGCAACGGGCACGGGCAAAGGCATGCCCTGATCAAGCAAACTCCTTAAGGGAGGCGGGTCCCTTGAACCCCGCGGGGCTGAGTCGGCATCGGCATTCATTGCTGCGTGCAGGCTCAGCAAGAACAGCCAGGAAGCTGCCGGGAAGGTCTGGGCCTTCGCCTTTGGCTTTGCTGCAGCCTTCGTCTTTGGCTTTGCCGAAGCCTTCGGCGGCCGTGCTGCGGCCTTGGCCTCAGCTCGCTTAGCAGCCCGCTTGGCCCTTCTTTCCTTCTGGCAAGGCTTCTTTGCCCTCCGGTTCGCCATTAAAGCGAACAAAAAGGGGCGGCGGAGCTCAGTCAGGGCTTGGGCCTCAAAAGCCACTTAGATGTACAGCTGTGCTTCCAAGATTTTTGCTTTGCGGCAACTCGGCAAGGACTTGCACGATTCACCGGGCGAGCCTTCATGCTGATGTCTTGCAGCATATTTCGATCTTGAAGCGGAGTGTCCTTGGCAGGGGTTTATTCAATTTCAGCACCAAGCATCATGCAGCATCTTGCGGTCTTGTCGAAGGCTTTTGCAGCCTAGCCTAGGGCTTGTACAGCCCCAGGCACCAAGGGCTTCTGCAGCCCGAGGCTTCAAGGGGCTTGTTCAGCCCCAAGCTTCAAGGGGGCTTTCTCAGCCCTTCTAAGGCTTCAGCAGCCTTAATTTGTTGGGGCTTGTGCAGCCCCAGGCAGCTCAGGGCTTATTCAGCCCTGACTTTTGGGAAGGCTTTTGGCAACTCAAATCATTATTCCGAACCAGCAGCAGCCAAGGACCTGAGCAAGCGGACACGTGCCACCATGCAGCTCATATAAGTATACTGCACAAATATGCAAACTGCTCAGCACTCGGTCCAACGACATGTTTCAACAAAGTCCATTCTGGCCTCCAGAAATTAAAGAATCTAGGGTGGGATGCACGACCTGCAACATCCTGGTCTGTGGCGGCATTTGCCGCAGCCGTTTGGCCGAGCCTTCAACTTCTGGGCTTGGCTCATCTTCTCGTACTGGGGCCTGCGTAGGATGCCAGCAGGTTTCTTCGAAACCACGGCCTTGCTCGCTGCAGGCTTCTTTAGTGCAGAGGTTCTTGGCGCCTCTTCGTCGCTGGAGGATTTAGGCTCAGCGGGCACGGATTCTGCAGTTTCAGCGGCCACGAACCCGCCGAACACAGGCCACCCATCTGAATCCAGTGTGTCTGTCGGCTTCAAAGTCCGCTTTGGCGGGGAGGCTTCCACTGACTCCGTCGGCTTCAAACTCCGCTTTTTGGGCGAGGCTGCTGTTGTTTTCGACGGTGCAGCAGCGATTTTGTCGATCTTGATCTTCTTCAGCAGTTCGTCCAAGGCTGCCTTGTCCTTAGCAGTCAGCCTCCTCTTTGCCTCCACGTATCGCTGTCTCGAAAGCTTGATCCGCCTCAGATGATTCAAGATGGTTGTGATGCGTTCCGTCATCCAACCTGCCCAATGCTTCAAGGCCATGTTCCCCGGCAACATCGTGTAATTGGTCCCGAGATCCTGGAAGGTCTCCTTGAGCACAGCGACGTGGACTTCAGCTGCGGGGAAACTGTCCAGGATCACCGTGACGATCTGGGAAACGTAAAGCAAGCCAGTCGCTGACACAGCCTTCGAACGATTCAAGCTGTCGTAGACACCCAGCTTCAAAGCCGACTCTGCTCCGCGACTCTTGACGTGGTTGCGGAGGCCTTCTTTCAGGCCATCTTTGTCATACGGCCCGATGGACTTCCGCTTCTGAGGTGCCATTTCTTTCCAAAACTATACTATATCGAGAAAATATTGAGCCAGAAATTGCTGCGAACCCACAAAATGCAACACAGTACATGGCTGCAAGCAACATCATCGCAGGGCTTCGGACACTCGGCGCTTTTTTCGTTGCACCCAAGATCGCATGCCAGGTCATGCCGGCGAGCTAATTTATAGCGAAGCAGGCATTTACAACCTTTCAGCCTTCGCACTTGCACCAATACTCTTGTCGATACAGTAACGTATCGTAAATGGTGAGAGATTTGCTGTCCAAGAACGGCCTCAGATACACACTCGAGCAATGGAGGCAGTAGCCGGTCTCCTTTGCCAGCCGCCATGAAGATTCAACTTCGCTTTGCGGCTGCTTGAGGAGCTGCGACAGCTCGCTCAGCAGCTGTTCCTCCTTGTTCTCTGCAGCGTCCGTCCTCCCGTAGGTCACGTACTGCTCCTCGCTGGAACTCATGGCGGCGGGATTCCGTCCTTCGAGCAGCGATTTCCCTCCTTTAAGCCACAAAATTGCTACAAATATTTTCAGCTGAATCCATGCTGCAGAACTCACGGTGCATAAAAGGACACTGCGGCAAAGCAATCAATGAAGCTTTTTTTCAGTCGTCATTTGTGCGAACGAAGTGCACAGGATCAAGAGTCCTCACATTCGTGATGGGTTCCATGAAGCCGAGATGAATTCCGTTTTGCTGCAGTCGAAAGCTTCGAGCCCTCAGCTCATATCCCGATCTTTCGTATACGTGAAAGATAAGCATTTTCTTCGCCCCATCCACGTTTGCAGAATGGTTTACCTGTAGGTGAAAATGCCAGACTTCATTGTTGGTGACCGCAGAATCCTGAAGCACGACGTCCATCCGAAAGACCCTTTGTTGCAAAAACGGCAGGCCAGCCATAGCGGCGGTTCGCTTCATGGTTCTAACTTACGTATAACACACATGCATGAAAGATTTGCAGCGTGAGCTATGCGATCATTTTAACGAACTCTGAGCGGCAGGCACACAGCATGCAAAGGCACAGCGGGTAAACCTCCAACACATGCAGTGCACGTACAGATCATGCGTTCTTTTACACTGCGGCACTCGGCTCAGGTCTGGCTGCCTATTCGGCCCCGTTCTCATTCTGAGCTTCATCGTCCCCGTTCTCCTCCTGGGAGTCTTCATCGATGCGGTTCTCATCCTGCTGGGGTTCTTCATGGATCTGGACGTTCTCATCCTCGTGGCCAGGCCAATAGCCACTTTCGTGATATTCTCTCAAGAGATGCCTCTGGTAGGCTCGTGCGTCGTCCTGCCAGTTCCAGTAGTCCACGATACAGGCCGCACACCAGTGGTGCTTGTGGTTGGCCCTGTGGCGGGCACAAAGAGCCCATCGTTGCTGGCACTGTTCGCAGCGCTGCGAACAGGAACGGCGGCGGCTGCAGAAAGAGCCCATCGTTTCCGCAACCTCGCAAAAAAAACAACTCACGAGCTATGCCACTGGAGGAATAAAAGCTGCAGAGACGATCAGAAATCGATAAGCCCGCAGCAAACGGCAAGATTAAGCAGGAAAAACCAACGGTCTCGCTTGAAGATTTTTTCGCTTGTCACCGCTTAGCAGTCTCGACCCCAATCAAAACTGCTCTTGTGCCGGCTCTACAGCTACTGGGTCTCAGCCTGTACATGAACTCTGTATCCTTGGCATTTGCAACATTCGTGAGACGTATGCTCGAAACGACGACCACAAACCTCCCAGCACGTTGGGCACACTTGCTTGCAAGCAGGCCGATGTTTCCGAACTCCAGGAGGGAGCATAGGCACCGTAGGATAAAGATGGTTGCAGAGAAGTCGTAGAAGACGATTCTTCTCGTCCCATGACAGCTCTTCTAGATCGGCCGTGATTTCCAAGTCGCTCTGTCTCATGAAGCTCTCCATGGCCGCGAATGTTGCTTCGAACTCGAGCCGGCAAAACTCTAAAGCAGTAAGCACTTGAAAAGACTTGCGACTGCAAAGCTTCAGGTTGCGAGCTGGGGCTCTCAAAAGGCCCGGGCCGTCGCAGCGGCAGTTCTCGCAAAGAGCACCTGCGAAGAAGGGTTTACGGGTTTGTGGTTGAGAATTCTGCACCATGTCTTTCGGGACTTGTCCAGCCCCGGTTGGCCATTCTGAATATGTCTCAGCAGGGACTTGTCCAGCCCCATCTTTGCAGTTCTGAAGATGTCTCAGCAGGGACTTGTCCAGACCCATCTTTGCAGTTCTGAATATGTCTTAGCAGGGACTTGTCCAGCCCCATGTTTGCAGGGACTTGTTCTGAACATGTGCAGGGACTTGTCCAGCCCCATCCTCTGGGCCATTTTCTCGCCCGTCCTGCCCCCCCCCTTGCACTTCAAAACCAATAGAAACTCACATAAAAACCAATAGAAAACTCACATAAAAACCAATAGAAAACTCTCATAAAAACCAATAGAAAATCACATCAAAACCAATAGAAAACATACATCAAAACCAATAGAAGCAAGAAGCACACGATTTCGGAACCAAGCGCATTCGATTGTAATTTACGAGCGCAATTGAAATTTTCACGTGAACCCGCGGTTTCGAGCGTGCACCCAATCTTTTTCGAGCGAACGATGCCCCGGGTAGTTACCAAGTCCCATGACCCCTTAAGTATTCCCCTAAACCCTAAGCCCTAGACCCTTTAAAGATACCTTATAGATCCCTTTAAAGGAGCCCTTATAGAACCCTACATTATAACCCTAGTTACTAAGTCCCATGAGCCTTTAAGCAGCCCTTTTCCGACCCTGAGGCAATGGCTCCTGCCCGAATGCCTTGAGCAACGCAGCGGCTCAAGGTCGAGCCACCTTTGGTTCTGTTTTGGGGTTTATAGGTCTTAGGGTTCTTTAGGGTTTAGGGCTTTGGGGTTCTTTTTGGGTTGGTTTAGGGTTTAGGGCTTAGGGAGTTTAGGATTTAGGGTTTAGGGCTTGGTGTTCTTTTTGGGGTGGGTTTAGGGCTTAGAGTTCCTTTTTGTTGGGTTTAGGGGTTTAGGGTTCCTTTTGGGTGGGTTTAGGTAGGGTTTAAGGCTTTAGGGGGGTGAGGGTTTGGGCTTTCGGGATTTAGGGGGTCTTAATTTAGGCTAAGGGTTGTTTCAGGGTATCCGATGCTTTTTGATGGGGCGTTGTTATACTGGGTCTTGTGGTTTTTTTAGTGCGTTATCGCGCTTTTCTTACGGGTTGTAAAGATGATTTGTAGGATTGAGGGTTTCAGATTGAGGGCGAAGCCAACTTCTGTAGGCTCGGGCTCGAGGGCTTTGTAGGGGTCTAGAAGTTATGCAGTTAAGGGTTTTGGGCCATTTGTTCAAAATTTGGATCCAGTCTGTCTTTGTGTGTCTTTGAGAAGGCTTCTAGATGGGATTTGATATTGGGTTCTATGTAGGGGCTGATAAGGATGAACATGGGTTTAAAACTAGGGTCCCTTCTTCTTTATGATTTTGATAAGGCCTGTATATAGGATTTCATATAGGGGTCCATGTAGGGGCTCTTTAAGGGTCTAGGGCTCGGGCTCAGGGTTCTGGCTCCAGGGATACCGATCACGGTTTGGATCTATTGTTTGTGAGGGTCGGGTCATGTTTGGTCTCTGGCTTTCGGTTTAACTCCCTAAACCCTATAAGCCCTAAACCCTAAATCCTAGAGCCTAAACCTCTAAACCCTCAACTGTCTTCCGGTGGCAGGAGCAAGAAAGGCTCTAAGCAACGGCAATTAGAAGAAAAAGTGCAGCGCGAATGCGAGTCATCAGGCGAAGGCTTAGAACGAGCAGCCGTAATAGGGTTTAGGGTTTCGGGTTAGGGTTTAGGGTTTAGGGTTAGGGTTTAGGGTTTAGGGTACTATGAGCATGGACCATGTTCAGAATAATTCGAAACCGTCCTGAGCAACTACTAAAATTATGTATTCCCTTTAGCCCTTAGTGGCTCCTGTTATGATTAAGTATGTTAATTTATGCACCAGCACATTTTGCAGCCATTAGTACCCCTGACTCCAGGTTGCTTGGTAATGGGTCTGGCCTGCGGCAGCAGCTACCAGGCGCGGCACTCCGTGAGTCAGTTCGAACCTCTTACCTTCATAATATGTTTACCCTCACGATTCATCGTTTGATGATGGTGCGGCTTTTGGGTCACCTTGCTGTCCTAAACCCTAAACCCTGAGTTTTTTGGAAATCAGAGGGGTGGAGGTGCATATGCGCCGTAGGACTTTGCCTTGCAGGCCCGGGTGGCTCCAGTCTGCAGTGACGCCGCCGCACAGCCACTGGACACGGGCAACGCAAGCACCTTCACCATGGATCGAGGTGCACAGCCTTGATAAAGGGCTTTGGGGTTTACTAGGTTGGATTTTGGGACATTTTTCATTTTCCTTATTTGGGTTTATAAGGGACCCTATATATATATATATATATATATATATAAATAAATAGATATTTTTCAGGGTGTTTAAAGGCCAACCCAGTTTATTACACTATAAGACTATACTAGCAGCCCTTGAAGACTAGAGTAGTGGTATTTAGTGCAGCCTTCTGTATTTAATTACCTAAGACTCAACGGCTTTGCCTTCGAACACCCAACACGAAGGTACGCTGCAACTTTTTCTGGGCAACTTCCAGTACCGGTTAAACCCTGAACATGAGGCAAGAACGAGGGTAGGTCCAAATGTGTTCGTTGCCCTGCATGAACCTTCAAGCTTGACTCATGCTTTAGGGTGTAGGGTTTACGGTTTATGGATTAGGGTTCAGGGTTAGGGGATTCTGAGGTGAGGTGGAGTTTGGACTTTTCACCTCGATTCGGATTACCTGGAACGCGAACACCGAATGTTTGCCTTCTAAAGCCCGTTCGTCTCCATGCTGAGCTAGGTGGCACTGTAGCAGCGCTGCTTCACACGGAAGTGTCGGATGGTCTCCATGAGACTGTTGTGAGTTCCGCAGAAGGTGCTGATAGCGCTGCGTGCTCATGGACCGCCTGAGCCTAGTGTTGACCGTAGCAAACAACGGTGAAACACTCCGACGAAGCCCTTCCGTTAGGTGAATGCTCAGCAGTAGCTCATGCTTGTGCAGCTGGCGCATCGCATAAAGAAGCACGCGACGTGCTACACCAAGACCCAAGATCTGCGATATGAAGGCCAAATTCTGCCAGATAAAGCAACCCGAAGGTCTGTTACATCAGCCTCCCCTAAACCCAACTAAACCCTGAATCCTAGGCCCCTAAACTCCTAAACCCCAAACCCCTAAACCCCAAACAATAAACCCTAAACCTTAACAGAACCGAAAGCCCCAAAACGCCCAAGCGCCGACCCCTGCCATCCCTATATCAGCCTCGAAGCATGGCAGGCGCCGCATGCCACATCCGAGCTGGACGCCCGGCCGGCGTTGTGGTCCTGGCGACCTCCGTGAGTGGCGTGAGGATCTCTTGGGAGGCAACTGGCGGTTCTTCTGTGTTAGGGTTCAGGAAGATTAGGGCTGAATTAGGGTTCAGGGCCATTTTAGGGTTTAGGAAGTTTAGGGCTTCGGGAGGCAACTGGCGGTTCTTCTGCATCAGGGTTTACTGTTCAGGAGCCTCAACAGGTGCATTGGGGATCACCCCAGCTACCTTCATCCCTCCTCTGGAGCCTGTTGCGGCCTTGTCCTTTTTCATGGTTCCCCCAATACTAAGATTGTGCGTTTGGCTTAAGTTAAGATATAGATGTTACTAGGGGGTTAGGTAAGTTAGATAAAAAGTTAGCATAAGTTAAAGAAAGTTAACATAAGTTAGCAAAAGTGAACTTGTGGATTAAAAGATACAACGATGGGGTGGCGGGGTCGTGGGTGGTGGTAGCGGGTGGTGAGGCGGTGGCCATCGCCAGCCACCACCAACCACCCACCAACCACCACCCACCACCCACACCAAAATAATGCGGTTCACAAATCCATTCCCAGAAAAGCAGCTGATTGGGGGATCCTTATAGAAATTTTAGGTGCTGCACCAGCCACCACCCACGCCACCCACGCCACCCACGCCACCCACGCCACCCACGCCACCCACCACGCACCACCCACCCACCACCCCGCACCACCCACCACCCCACCACCCACCACCCCACCACCCATCACCCCACCACCCACCACCCACCATCCACCATCTAATAGGTGGTGGGGTGGTGGGGCGGTAGGGTGTGGTGGGTTGGGGTGCGGTGGTAAAGTGTGGGGTGTGGGTGGTGAGGTGGTGGGGTGGTGTGGTGGCGGTGGTGGTGGCGGTGGTGGTGGTGGTGGTGGTGGTGAATCAGGGGGTGGAGTGCCAGCCAGCTCCAATTCTGAGGCCTGGAAGTATGAACTTTTTATGAACTTTTCAGGCCTGGAAATATGAACTTTTTATGAACTTTTCAGGCCTGGAAATATGAACATTTTATGAACTTTTCAAGCCTCGAAATATGAACTTTTTATGAATTTTTCAGGCCTCGAAATATGAACTTTTTATGAATTTTCAGGCCTCGAAATATGAACTTTTCAGGCTTGGATTCATTGTAAATACCAATAAAACACAAAAAATATGAACTTTTTATGAACTTTTCGGGCCTCGAAATATGAACTTTTTATGAACTTTTCAGGCCTCGAAATATGAACTTTTTATGAACTTTTCAGGCCTGGAAATATGAACTTTTTCTGAACTTATCCGGCCTGGTTCCTGGCTTTATGAACTCGGGGGTGGTGCTGGCGGTGGTGGCGCGGGCGGTGGGGGTTGCTGATGGTGGTGTCGGTGGTGCTGGTGCTGCTGGTGCTGGTGGTGCTGGTGGTGCTGCTGTGGTGGTGGTGCTGGTGGTGGGGGCGGCGGCGGCGGTGGTGCTGGTGCTGGTGCTGGTGCTAGGTGCTGGTGCTAGTGCTGGTGGGTGCTGGTGCTGGTGCTGGCACTTCCGCTAGCGCTGGGGCTGGTGCTGGTGCTGGCGGTGAGGTTTCCCAAGCCGTACACCCCAAACCCAAGCCCCTAAACCCCTGAACTTTAAACATGCGCTAGTGGTGTTCCTAACATCCTAGACATGCTGTTGTTGTTGCTGTTAGTGGTGGTGCTGGTGCTGGTGGTGCTGGTGCTGTTGAATTGTTGTCGTGGTGGTTGCTGTTGTTGCTGCTGTTGTTGTTGTGGTGGTGGCGGCGGCGGTGGTGTTGGTGTTGGTGAAGGCTGTGGTGATAGTTTTTCTACACTCCACACCGTACCCTATACCCCCTAAACCCTATAACCCTGGTGGTGGTGCTGATGCTGGTGCTGGTGTTTGTGGTGGTGGGGGTCCTAAACACCTGAACCCCCTAAGCCCATAGCATCTGCTCTTATCTTTGTGGAGCACAGAAAAGAACAGCATCAGTGACAAACAACGAAAACCATTCAACACAAAGCCGACATAAAACAAAAAAAGTTAGAATAAGTTAACATAAGTTATCATAAGTTAGAAAAAGTTAGCTAAAAAGTTAACTTAAGTTAGTAACTTCTATTTCTTCCAACCAACCTTCTACTAACTTCCCCCAAGTTAGTAGGGACTTACTACATGGATGGCAAAGATGTAAGGGGGTTACAGGGGGGTTATAAGGGGGTTACTAACATCTATATCTTAACTTAGGCCACACGCACAATCTTAGTAGAATAAACAGACCGGCTAGTAGACCTTCTTAAATTCCTACTAATAGGGGATATAGGAATAGGGCTCTGTCTATTACTTCTGAAAGGACAAGGGTGGCCTGTTGAACTTTAGGTTTCCGGGTTTAGGGTTGAGGTGTCATTTACCCAAAGGCTCCATGTACCCATATGGTGAGTACTTAGGCCTTAAAGGGGTCCCCGTATAGGTACTTTAAGGCCTAAGTACCTACTTTATGGGTACATGGAGCCTTAGGGTTAAGGAATGATACGCAAGTAGTTCGATGTACCCTAATAGGTATTTGTCTCGCCCAGAACGACCGGGCACGAGTAGTTCTGGAGGGACCCTACAAAAATGTAGGTTCTGCGAGTTTTGCGGCAATGCCTATACCCTGAATCCGAAAACATGCATCGGTATGCAGTCGGAGAGGGGCGGTAAAAGAGACAACAAAAGTTACGCCTCTGAGCCCAAAGACTTCAGGGTTAGGGTTTTGGTGTGCTGCCGTCAGCTTGGGTAATGTAGGGCTTCAGGGTCTCGAAAAGACTCTAATCTATGGGAAACTCCAGAAAGTTGGAATATGGTCTCATGGTAGGATACCCTATAATTTACCATAGAAGGGTTAGGATAATCATATTCCAACTTTCTGGCTTTTACCTTAAAGACTTCTAAGGGAGGTTTAGGCTTGTCGGGCTTGGGTTGCATGGGGTTTTGTGGCTGTCCTTTACAGTTCAGGGCCGACTTGCAAACGCACGCCCTGCACTAGGTTGGACTTTGGGACATTTTTTATTTTCCTTATTTGGGTTTATAAGGGACCCTATATATATATATATATATACACATATTATTCAGGGTGTTTAAAGGCCAACCCAGTGCAGCACATGCAGTCAGAAAGGCATTAAAACCCCTAAACCTGTGAACCCCAAACCTTGACCGATTTCAAGATTAGAGGGCCCAAGAGTCTCTTTGCCGTCCCCAAAGTACCAAAGCCGGCACCCGTAATCCCTAAACGTATAGATCCAACAGCAGAATAGATTTCCTGGCATGTATTTGGCCTGTACATGTGGCCTTGACCTTGAGTGGGTTTAGGGTTTAGGGTAGGGTTTAGGGTTTCATATAGCCCATATGCAAAGTGGTTGTCAAAATTCTAGTCCCTTTTTTGGTCCCTATTATAGTACGGCACCTATTATTTAGGGTGCCAAAAAGGGTCTTGGGTTCAGGGATTCTGAACATGCAAAGTCGAACTTGCCGCTGGGGTTCCCAACATACTGGGTTAGAGCAACCGAATACTTTCGTGTTTGCCATAAAGCCTCTTTCGGCAGCTGAACTGTAGGATAAACCCAATCAGGGTAGCTATATCCCAGCGACAACTAACTTGCTAAACTAGTTAGCTTCGCAGAATCCAGCCCTGGGAGACATCAGTGCTTCGGATTTCAGGTCATGGAGTAGGTTCAGGCTTATGTGGGCTGAGGGCTTGCGATTTCGGGTGCCGAAACAGATGTGTTTCTTCACTTCCAAACCTGCAGGGATCTCTGCACTCTCGACATCTCCAACCCCTCAAGTCCACACCCCTACTTGGAGGATCATTGGACTTAGTAAGTAAGGTTATAAGTACTTTAATTGAGGTTATAAGGATTTACAAGCATAGTTACCTTCATTATAACCTGACCCTTTAAGTGCACTCTCGACATCTGCAACCCCTCAAGTCCACACCCCTGATCCGTGGGATCGCAATCAGGCAGGCGACTCCAACGTTTGGGCCCCAGTTGTTTTCCGCAAATCTCAGAGATTTTACAGGTTGAGGGCCGTGCACCTGGAGGATCATGGGACTTGGTAAGTAAGGTTATAAGTTATAAGTACCTTAATTGGGGTTATAAGTAATTGTAATTACAGTTCCCTAGCCACTGAGTCCCATGACCCTTTAAGTCAGGGTTCGGCATAGGGGCTTCGGGGCTCTGGGTAATCGGATGTGACGGGGGCTTTCACTGCAGGGTTGGGGTTCTACGGTTGATGATATAAATCCTAGGGTTCCTTTAAAGGGATCTATAGGGGTACCTTTAAGGGGCTCCTTTTAAGGGATCTATAGGGTTTTAGGGTTTAGGGTGATGATACAAATCCTGCATTACCTTAAGGACCCTAAACCATGGGAGTTATGGCATATTCCTTATTCTGGGTAATGCAGGATTTATATCATCAGCCGTAGAGGTCTCGGTTGGTTGTGCTTGTGGTCAATCGTTTGGGGTCTTTCGGATGATCTTCTTTAGGGTTTGGGGTTTTGGGGTTTATCCTTGACTGGTACCTTCGTTGAAGGTCCGAAATGTGGACTACCGTAAGCCACCCCCCAAAAACATGCCACATTTGTAAACTTGAAGAATGTCTCTTCGGCACCGGATATGCCTGTAAAAGCATCATTCCCAAAGCAAGTGCGCATAATGCCCAAGCAAAACTCTATAACTCCGTGATTTCCGAATCCATGGCCGCCAAAATACAACTCCTGCATTTTAGCCACGTCCATCGAGGGCCGGAAGGGTTTGTATGTTTGCGACGGCAAATATCTCATATAGGTCGGTACATACTGTAAACGGATGCATGTTCGTACGCATGAATACATACGTGAGAGTCACAATTACAGACTACACGAACAGCCACAGACATGCATGGCATGCATGTGTTGGCACATGCATACACATTGCATACCTATGGTTGTAGGCCATGTTTTTTTTCCGGAAGCCGTCGTCCAAGCCTGACCCGCACTTCATTATATAACTCAATTTGCAATAAACAAAGATCCTGGAACCCAGCCGTGTGGAACCTAAACAGTTAAGTCTCACACCCCTAAATTACGCCCAATGGTCCCTAGAACCCAAAGCTCTCAACACAAATCATTCAAAGACCCCCTGACACAAACGTCTTCTGCAAGGACTGCAGCTTTGCTTCCTGGGATGTCCATCTGCGCACGGCTTCGGATGTCTTGGTAGCGGCTGCGGGCTGCACTGGCCTTGCAAGGGTAACGTGGCTTCATCAGGCTGTATAGGGTGTACAGGGGTGCGGGTTTCGGGTTGAGGGGCTAAGCGTTCAGAGGTGTTCAGGGTGTATCACAGGGATTTGCGGTTCAGTTCAGGCTACGGTTGGCCTCGCCGTTATCCACTTGATCCGCAAGGCAGTGGTTCCTCACCTCATTCTCGAGTGGAGTGTATCTGGGGGTCTGAGTCATCAGTACAAGTACTCCCTGTCGGTCCGAATATGCTTACCTTCTGATATACCCCACATCCTGTTCCAATGATTCCGACCACTGTCCTAGTGAGGGTAGCAAAATGCGGGATTTATTGAGGTTCTGGGGAATGAGAATATCAATTAGAGATTTGGTGATTCAGGGCTTTAGGGAATCTAGGGTTCGGGGTTTGGATCTTAGAATCTGAATCCCGAGGCCCTTGACCCTGAAGCTACTGGATCTGATATAGAGTTCCTTTGCAGAGGCTGTCCTTTCTCCGTATCATCTGAATCCGAACCCCCAAACTCCACAGCAGCGGATTCGAAAAGCTAAGCAGCTAAGGAGGCGACAACCTGCAACTCCTTCGGTCTTGCAGAGAACACCTCATACCATGCGACAGTGCAGGACGATGCTTCAATTCCTGGATGTTGAACATCGGAAATGTAAGAAGCATAATATTGTCGTGTGCTTCTTGTACGGGGTCATTGCTTACGCTCCAAATGGGTCCAAAATACCTATATAGCAGAATGCAGGATTTCTATATTATTAGGAATTACTATTATGATTTGGGGCGTAGGGCCTTTTGGATCTAGATACAGCCTCATGGATCAAGTGTGCTAGTGGTTCAGCTTTCCGCGCCAAGCCTCTCGGATGAATGCGAATGCCTGCAACCCCTAGCTTCTTGAATGCTCAACCCCCTAAGCCCCAAACCCATGCATTCCCCATCCCCAGCTCCCCCCCACCCACTCCTTCTGGACAGTTCTTCGAAGGCAAGATGAAAGGCAAATTGCTGATGGGTCGCAGCTTGCAAGTTGAACGACCCCCCCCCCCACCCACTCCTTCTGGACAGGGCTTCAAAGGCAGGATGAAAGGCAAATTGCTGATGGGTCGCAGCTTGTAAGTTGAAGCCATATTGCGACGACCCTCCCTTGGACTGCTTAAGCCGGGCAGGGCAACACGGCCCTTTGCAGTCCCTGCTTTGGGTTTAGGGTTTAGGGGTTTAGGGTTTAGGGGTTTAGGGTTTAGGGTTTAGGGTCTGTCTTGCAAGCCGATCATTGCACGAGGGCCTGGATGTGATAGCGCCTTTGTTGCAAGCATACTGCATCAGACTACTCACGGCCCCACAGGGCAGAACAGGCAAAGAATCCGAAACCCTGAGCCCTAAACCCCTAAACCCTAAACCACCCCTAAACCCTAAATCCCTAAACCCTAAACCCCAAACCCTAAGCCCTAAACTCTAAACCCTAAACCCCTAAACCCTAAACCCTAAGCCCTAAACTCCTAAAACCCTAAACCCTAAGCCCTAAACTCTAAACAATCTGCAGAAGGAAGCCGAGGCCAGCACCAGGGACTGAGGCAATAATATAGGAGCCTACACAGTTTTTTATGGGGGTTCTTTACTACCCACAGGCCCCAAAGTAGTTCCTTTTGGGATTCATATATCGAATTCTATAAGGTAATCCTAAAAAGGAACTACTTTGGGGCCTCTGGGTATACTTGTAGTATAACGGTCCCCAAAACCCTATTTTAATGACTACTAAGGCCCCGATATTGGCAAAACCTGTTGAGCTGCAGGCAACCGAAGCTTCGTCGCATGTTTGACTCAACAGCCGAGCCTGTGCCCCGAAGTTGAAAGGCACGGCCCGTGCTGTGCTTGTTGTTGCATACTGCTACTGCTACTACTAATGCTACCGCTGCTGCTGCTGCCGCTGCTGCTGCTACTACTGCTACCACTCTGCCTTTCCAAAATGAAGGGTTTAGATGCACCGATCAGGCCATTAGCAGTACCCGTGGACGAACCCAAAACCCTAAACCCTGAACCCTAGACCCTAAACCAAACCCCTAAACCCCAAAACCCCTAAACCAAACCCCTAAACCCCAAAACCCCTAAACCCTAAAACCCTAAACCCCTAAAGACCTACACCCTAAACCCCTAAATCCCTAAACTCTAAAACCGAGCGCTAAGAAGTACTCAGGAGCTCTGTCTGGAAGCCTCAGCTTCCTCGCCGGTTGCTGAGAGCTTGGAGCCAGCCACAACTTGGAGCGCCTTTGCTGCTCTTTGGGTTTTGGGTTTGGGGTTTAGGGTTTAGGGTTTGGGGCGTGCGGTGCAGGGTGTAGGATTTGCGGGGCTTCCAGATGTTATATATATATATATATATACATATATATATATATACATACATGTGCATATGTGTATATACACAAACGTAGACACAGAGAGACAAGAACACAGGTAGATGCCAACTAGTAACTACGATATTTGCGGTTTGGGGCTTAAGGTTCTTCGACTCTGCGGTTTCAGGGCCTTGGAGCAATTTTGAATTGAAGGTTCAGCGCTTGCTTTGTGACGCTGAAGACTAGCACTCCGAGGGTCCATAATAAGGAGTCCCATTGTGTCGGCATAGATCCCAAGTGTGGTAACTTTGCAGCTGGGCTTATCCGGGCGATGCAGAGAGGATGGACATGAAGGGTTTTCAAGAATAAGTCAGAGTATCCCCGTGGAATCCATGCATAATTATGCTACAATATACCCAAAACCCTGTTGGATGCATTCGGGTCCTGATACTAATTTGTACGGAAGGGTTATGGATGTCCAGTTCACAGTATTGGGATTCGGGTGCATGTTTCTTGTCAAACAATATGAAGGGCAGTTGTAAGTAGTCGCCGCAGCGGTGTCAATAGTGGGGATACGTAGCAGAAGCATGCAGAGGGGCGCCTGCTACAGTATTTTCTGCATCTATGTAAAGGGTTGCCAATCAGGTCGAGACTCAGTACCGTAAGCCTTGATGGAAATTCGTAGCTGCCTCCAGGTGTGCCAGCGCCCTCCATCTCGCTCACGCACCATGGCAATACAGACTTTCAATTCCCAGAAGGCGAAAGTGGCCACTTATGGGGTTTACGAGCAAAAAGTTATTCATCGGAGGACTGTATTGAGGACTGGATCAGTTACAACCCTACTATTTGAGTGCTTGAACCCTTGGGAACTTGTATAGGACCTTTGTAAACGACTTTCTCAGCCCTTCTCGCAGTCTGTAAAACCGTCCTTTTTGGGCAGTGAACCCAAGCTTTGATGCTCAGGCTCTATATTCTCGTCGCAAGAAAAACCCTGGTAGGAATATTTATGAATAGTTGTTGATGAAACCTTTCAGCCCCGGTTAAGCACGACCCACGCCGCAATCCTACAGCCCTAAACCTTGAGCCTAGATCCCGAAACCGCAGAACCGAACCATACACCCAAGCCTTATAAACTCTAAACCCTGCCAAGAAGCAGGAAAGACAGGATAACAAATCAACACAACCTTTAACTTGAAATCCTCCCGTATGAGCAACAAAAGCAAGAACCCTGCAGCCCTAAAGCCCGAACTACCTAAACCCTTCAACAGTACCTAAAAGGTGCTCCTGGCCTCACACCTATCGCAAGGACATTATTCTACATACTTCTGGGGTCCAGGTAACCCTAAACCTGAAAACCTAAAACCTTAAGCCTATACCTGAAAACCCAAAACCTTAAGCCCTAAACCCTAGCGTCAGGCATGCACACACCTCATCCAAACTCGGAAGTCTGGCGGATCCCCAAAAGACACGAGGTAGTAAAAAAAAACCTAGCCTTAATCGTAAACCCTTAAGCACTAGATCCTAAACCTTAATCGTAAACCCTAACCTTAAGTCTAAACTCTAAACCATAAACCCTACCTAGATCACCAACTACACTCTATTAAACCCCAAATACTGTCTATTACGGACCATAAGGCCTTTGATTAAAGGATACTTGGGGGGTTCTGGTAAACCCTTTGTTGAAACAAAAAGGCCTTACACCCTTATCTCTAAACCTTTTTTTCAAGTAAACCTTAAACCCTAAAACTTCAACCCCTCAACCTTAAACCGTAATCGAAATTAACAGACCCTACACCTTAGTTGTAAACCCTTCACTTAAACGAAAAGACAGACCTGAAGCCATAAAGCCATAAATCCTAAACCCTACACAGTAAACCCTAAGTCCTAAACCCTAAACCTTAAACCCTATATCCTAAACCCTAAACCCCAAACCTTAAACCCTAAACCCTTCCTTAAACCCTCGTTGAAACGACAAGACCGCCACAGCGCAGAGCCCGAGGTTGTAAGGTTCCTAAAACCGGTCTGATTATAGGGGTCCTTAAAGGGATCTATAGGGTTTACAGGGTTGAGGGTCTAGTTGGAGGATCATGGGACTTAGTAAGTAAGGTTATAAGTATCCTAATTGGGGTTATAAGTAGGTATAAGTATAGCTACCTTAATTATATCCATAGTTACTAAGTCCCATGGCCCCTTAAGCAGAGCCCGAGGTTATAAGTAGTTATAAGTACATATCTTTACCTTAATTATAACCATTACTAAGACCCATGACCCTTTAAGCAGACCCTACTCCCCTTATAGAACCCTTATTGATCCTTTTATCTACCCCTTTAAGGAACCCCTTTAAGGAACCCCTTAAGTTACCAAGTCCCGTGACCCTTTAAGTAGATCGTAGACCGTACTCCCCTTATAGATCCCTTTAGGGAACCCCTTAGGTTACCAAGTCCCACGAGCCTTTAAGCGAGGTTGCCCATGGCCGGCTCCGTCGTCACCAGCCGGCCCTCGGAGTCCTTGGGCCGAGGTAGACTTGTTCTTTCCCCCAAAAGAATAGGCAGACCGGCTAGTAGACCTTCTTAAATAATTCCTACTAAGGGGTGTAGGTATAGGGCTCCGTCTATTATTTCTAAAAGGACAAGGGTGGCCGGGGTAGACTTGGGAGTTTCCGAAAATTGGGGGGGGGGTACCTGTAAAGGGATCCTTGGAGGGATCCTTAAAGGGATCTATAAGGGCTCCATAAAGGGTTTAGGGTTTAGAGTTTCCGAAAATTGGGGGTTACCTTATTTTGGGGTCCTTAGAGTAAGGATCCTACAATTTAGGCTATTATATTAGGGTCCCTATTTATTTTCGGAAACTTTGTTTTTTTGGTGGTTTGGTTTTGGTTTTAGGGTTTAGGGTTTCTAGGGTTGCGGGTTTAGGGCTTAGAGTGCAGGGTGTAGAGGTTTAGGGTTTAGGGTTTGAGTTTAGGGTTTGGGTTTAATTTAGATTCGTATAAAGTGTGCGCACGGTGGGTCTTCAACGAGAGTGCACCGAGTGCAGAGGCCATGGTTGCTGGATGATTGAACCGCCGTATCCCGTCAACCCTACCTAATTAAGCCCCCCAAAGCAGTTTCCTACATGGGTGGTTGTCAAAATGAGGGTCCCTTTTTGGGTCCTTATTATAGTACGGCACCTGATATTTAGGGTACCCCAAAGGGACCATAATTTTGACAACCGCCCACATAGCCTTCATACTTTGGGGTCCCGGCAACCTACATAACTACTGACTAATGTAGGAAACCCTGGGCCGATAACCCGAAAATAGTAGGGTTCATATAATGGGGTCCCAACAATAAAGGCCCAAGGTTTCTTAATCAGGTTCCTACACGATCCTTGAAGCCGAGTGTGCCTAATTATTGGGTTGTTTGGACCCTTTGAGTAAACCCTAAACTCTGAATCCTTAAACCCTACCTGTATCCCCAAACCCTACAACATATACTAGGTTGTGACCTCTTAGTTAGAGGGTATAGCCCCTAAAAGTAGACTTATAAGCACCTCAAAACGGATCCTATTTTGGGGTTATGATAGCCTACAAAATAGCTACTTACAAAGTCCCCCGACCGAGCCTCCAAGTTTGGGGAAACCTTACCGTTGGTTCGTAGGGAATGGAAGAACGGTAGAAATAGTAGTTTTAATTGTACCCCATTCTTCCATTCCCTACGAACCAACGGTAAGTTATATGATTATTAAAGCCCCTATATTATAGTACCCTTGTAGATCCCTTATAGTAACCCTTATAGATCCCTTATAGTAACCCTTGTAGATCCCTTAAGAAACCCTGGCCTCGATACTCCAACCTGAGGTTCACGCTGATGTTCGACGTGGATGTGGAGCTGCCGCAAGCAGGCCTTTGGCTTGAGAGCTGTCTTCCTTTGAAGCGGTCCTTTAAGGGTTCCTGCAAGGGATCTATAAGGGCTCTATAAAGGGTTAAGGGTTTAGGGTTTCTGAAGCCACTGATTTGAGAATATCAGGACTGCTATAAGGGACCATATGGGGACGATTATAGGGTCCACTGTCTCGCTACCCTTCAAGCACCGGTATGGAAGCAGACCTGCTCCGGACAAACCTCCGCCGTTTCTTCTCAAGAGGGGTAGCCGGCAGACCTCGGCACACACCAGCACCCCCCGAACCCTCTAATTAATAGTTTAATAATTAGAACAGGGTTATAGTATTGGTAGTTATTTAAACCGCTACAGTAATCTACCCTAGCCAGTATTATAAAGGATCATAACGGCTCTTATTTAAACCCCTACCCTACCCACCATCAAGGATCATAACGGGGCTCCAGAAAAAGGCACTTTGGGGTCCTGCAACTCAGCCTCGCCATGCTAAAAGCTTGGTGCCTCGGCTAGAAGCCCCAGTAAACCCCGAAGCCTTATAAGGGGTTTAGGGTTCAGGGTTTAGGGTTTAGGGTTCAGAGTTTAGGGTTTAGGGTTAGTAGGCCCCCAAAGGATGGAAACCGGATTAAAGACAATTAGTGCTCAGAGCCCCCAGCTAACGCCTGGCAAAGCTCCACTGGCCCGCCATGAAGAAGCCTCAGCCCCAAACCCTAAACCCTTATAACCCTAAACCCTATAAGCCCTAAGCCACTAAACACCACAACGCCATGAAGAAAGCTTTGCTGGCCACGGTGCGGCCGGGGAGATGTTCGGAGTTTCAGGCACTGGCGGACGCAGAGCACGGAGGCTGTGGGGGAAGGGGGGGGGGGGGGGGGGGTGAGAGGGTTTAGGGTTTAAAGTTTATAGGGTTTTGGATTCAGGCTTTGGGGGGAGGGTCTTGGAACAAAGAGTTTTAGATGGGGTATTTGGTATTTTGCTGATGGGACTAGAAATTAGAGAGGGTAGTGGATTTGGCCATTGAGTTCCCAGCCAGTCGTTAGAGTGATAATCTAGCAATACCATTCCCTTACAGTTCCTCTATAAATATCCGTACGATAATGACACCGGGAACTCTATTCGGCTTGTCAAGGCTCCCAAGCCAACCTCATTTTATTCGGCATAAAATTTCTGACCAGACCCCATAAACTTGGAATCTGGAATGAGCCCAAACAGTGCTGGGATTCCCTATACGTTACTCTTAAGGATTGGGGCTATTATGTTTCCAACTCTTGAATCTCTGCTGTAGATCCTCTTGGCAATTCCGGTGGTCTGGGTAGTGGTTCATGACGTGCTGCTTTCGGTCGGGTTCGGGGCTTTAGATTTTGATACAATGTTCACAGGTTTGCAATTATCCCCGTGTTAAAGGGTTTAGCGGATTTCCGGATTGAGTATTTTGGAGTTCGCATCTGCAAATTCGTAGACTTTAAGTGTGCAGCAAAAAGGACAGTGGGAGCCTATAGGCAAGTGCTAAGATTCTATACGGGCGAAGTAAGTAAGCATGACAACTATATTAAAGGACCGACAACAGAAGATAGCCCTTGTGAAGGCATGTAAAGTCACTGTGCATCTACGTACCACCTGGATCGAACTGTTGGTGCGTATGCTGCTATTACGAACGAATACGAACAGTGGGAAGAAAGCCAGCTATACATGATTACAAGCACATAACAAAGCGCCAGCAGAGTGCTTCTTGCTGTTATCAGTCATGAGCCTTGAAGTAAGTCCTTTCGAACTATCGGAACAACACCCTGGCACAGAGGACTGAGCAATTGGTAATAGTACCCTGCTACAGTCCCTATCCAATCATACTCGAATGTGCGCCGAAACCCTGTTGTAATTGAAGCTTTGGATTCCAAACCCTCTAGCTTATAGGTGATGCAAAGAAGCTGGTAGCCAAGCTGGTGCAGCTGAGTCGCACTCTTTGCGTCCGCAAAGTCGCGCCGAAGGATGAGGCCACGACATGTCGTAGTTTGACTATGCATTATAGGTCTTAGAGGCTGCCCCTACTCAGTCACAGTTGTATAATTCAGATATGTATATATATATATATATATGTATATATGTATATGCATATATATATGGGCCTTATTTTCAGCCCTTGTCTATGTTGCTGTCTGGGCGCAGCACCCAAAGTCTGTGATTTACCTGAGGGGTCCATTGATTCCACAAACCTTAGAGTGACGAAGGTATCCCCGAGCTGAACTCTGTCAGGCAAACTGGACATTCTCCTTCACTCTCGCTCTCGGGACCCCAGGTTGCGAACGTAGCCTCAGGTATTGACTTGCGCCCGAAGTCTGGTCACCGGGTCGGTTCAGGGGGCTGATTGTTCGGAAGCCCTAAAACCCCAAAAACCCAAGCACCCTGAAACTCTAACCCACAAGCATTAAATTAAGCCTGTAAACCTTAGTTCCCAAACCCTCAGAGCCTAAACAATTGCCAAGACCAGGTTTTATGGGGTTGTATATATTACAAATATAATACAATATTTACCCCAAAGCCCGATTGCAATCATTCACGCCCCTATATTACCTCCTTGCCTCCGACATCCTGGTGAGGTCCTAGAAACGTGAAAGGTTTCGACTCTATAGCCATATAGGCGCCCGGCCATGTGGGGCTCTTTTAAATTTAACTAGTTCCGTTTACACTACCTGATCCAGTACTACACATAGCTTGTTAGTGTGCTTGCTGCGATACCCCAATCCAACGCAACTCTCGTGCAGTGTCCCGAAGCTGAAGCGGCAGTTGCACGAGGGTTCAACCCCCAAGGCAAAGCAACAAACTTCAGATCCAGAAACCCGAACTCTGAACCCTAAAACCCACAGAGCTCTGAAAACACCAGGTTAAAGCTTCAAAATTCTCAAAACTCTCTAAGCCCCAAATCCAAAAATCTCAGAGTCGTTCCCAGACCCGCTGCAAAAGGCGAAGTACCGATCGATCATCTGCAAGGGTCACGTCGGCTATGGCTTGGCGCTCTACGTGTTCCTTGGCCTTACTTGTAGAGACGGGAACCGTTCCTGAAGCCTCACCATGTCTGAGCGATGTTGCGTCTGCGTAGTGCTGGTTCTATTGTATGCATCGATGTATTTTCTTGTGATATTTGTCCCGGGTCTATTGCTACCGTTGGTTCTTGTTGACGGCATTCAGCCCCGGAAGACTCTCTGCGTCAGAGCCTGAAAGCAAAGCAGCGGGATTTAGTATGGAGGTACCTGTGCCTTAAACCCAAGCCCAAAATCAATATACAATATGCAACCCTAGCCCTAAGCCCTCAACAGCAAACTTCCAACCCTAAACCATAAAACCTCAATCGCGGCTGTGGGAGTGTGGAGAAGATGGCCGGAAAAAGCAAAAGAAACCTGCCACGTACTTTGTAGCCTTCTGGCCAGAAATACAGGACCCAGTCTACGCTTTAGTGCTTCGGGTTGAGGGTGTGAATCTTGGCCACAGAGGGTCTAGGGGTTCGGGCCAACGGCTTAAGTCATTTGGGGTTTAGGGTTAAGACTTTTCCGCATCCCTAACCTCAAGGCTGATCTTTCACCAAGTGCTAAACTCCGAAACTGAAATGTAACGATACCAAGGCCTCCACCCAAATTAAACCCCGCAGCCCCAAGCGTTGGACCGTACAACCGTAAACCAAAGCTCCAAACCCTAATCCCTGAAGCCCAAAACCCTAAACCACTTCCTCTCAAAACAAATCTAAACCCCAAAGCCTGAACGACAAGGTTCTCCTACGACCAGAGGATCCCAAACGCACAGTGGGACGAGCATACAGTGTTTCAGCCGCACCATACTTGGTTTGGGTGGTTGCGTTTGGGGTTTAGGGTTTGATTTGTCGGTTTTAGGGCCTTTAGGGTTTAGGCTTTAGGGCCTTTAGGGTTTAAACTTTAGATATGTTTCAGGGTTTAGGGTTTGGGGGGGTTGAGCTCTAAGAAAGAGCGGTACTTCAAGGGTTTTAAGTGAAGACAGAAACCTTAAACCGCAAACCACAAGCCAACAACGTTGAAACAACCTGAACCCTCAAACCCCAAGTCCTAAACCCTACACGCGTTTATGTTCGCACAGGCCGTAGGTTTAGGGCCTTTTGAGGTCGTCGAAGGAATTAGGCGTTTCAAGAGTCTGCGCACACCCAGAGACTCCAATACCCCTTAATTAAGGAATATTCCTTAAATCAGATTAAGGATCCTACTATAATTTAAGGAATATTCCTTAAATCATATTAAGGATCCTACTATAATTTAAGGAATATTCCTTAATTAAGGGGTATTGGAGTCTCTGGGCAGGTGCTCTGCCGGGCTCTGACGGTCATCATCCCACTGCCAGATCATCTTCGGGATGCTGAGGAGCCTTACGTTACGGGGTTTCTTTGTCATAGTTGGGTAACATTTTACATTCTTATGGGTATCTAAACCTAATAAGGAATAAAAATGTTCATTTTCAATCCTATCCCAACAATGAACTAGGTTTACTGTTTCGAGGCCGAGGGGACGTGGTAAGTCAGAAATACGTCGGTAGGATAACCGCACTGACGGGACTTATGACCCCAATTATGACCCTTCCCCTGAGCCCTTAAGTGAGGGGCGTGAATAGTTGCCCCTACTATTCCTGAGGGTTCCTCAATATACTTATACTGTTCTGTTGCCGAAACCGTGATTTTGTGTAGAATCAACGCACAGCCGATCCCCCCACCCACCCATGCATGCATACATACTGACGGACACACATACCCACAAACGTGCACGCAAACACCATAGCCGAATCAGTGTCTCGATGTCCTTTCGGTTTGTGCGGCTTCTTTCCCAGACCCCAAACCCTGCCAGAAGCCTTGAAAGCAGACTCTAGATCCAAAGATGTGCATGACCTAGATGCATGTTGGAGGATTCTGCAGCCCTCAGCTCTAATCTTTAAACCCATAGCCATAGCCTTAATCAGCTCGTGTACCTCAGCCTCAGCCCTCAACCCGTAGATTCTACG